CTAGGGGCGCAATAGTCCCTAGTAATCATGCCGGTTTGTAAACAAAGCCGCCCTTATTTCCCATTTTGAGCATGACGTTGATCGTTTAGTACATTTTCTGTGGTCTAAAGCTAACTCTATTTTCAGGATCCGCACTTAATGAGGCGTATATTGACGTTGCCTGTGTGTGGGGAGCGATCATCATATCGTCTTTGCACTGGAATCGCTAACCACGAGAATAACGTTGCTGAAGTGCTCTCTTTGAAAGATGCGGTTTCCTTCGAGTGAGCATTTAGGTCCTTTATCAGGGTCTGAACACGTGAGTCTCCTAGGGTTTGGAAAGGAGGCTGAAAACGGGGCGGTCGCATAATTGCAGTCAGGGCATTTGCTCTTGTGTCAAAGTATTCCACAACCAGCAAGAAAGTCCACGAGACAAGGAAGACTTCGGTGGTCCTTATGCCAGGCGAGGCCTATTTTTCGACAGCAAAGTCCTTCTTTATAATGCTGTAGTATTAAAGAGTAAGTAAAGTAACCATGGGAAGTTGTCTTGTTGAAACTCTTAAATGCATATTTCGCGTTCAAAAATGGTGATCTGTCAGCTAAAATACTACAAGATGGTAACTAGCATAAAACTGGGGGAAAAAGCAATAAAAATCTGCTCTAATTGTCCCATATTTTAATACTATGTGAACCGCGTTTCTAGGTGCACAAGACGAAGAAGGGAGGTGGGTGAGCAGTTTACACTTGCAGGTGGTAGCTCTTTCTTGCTTTCACCTCTTTCTCTCCATTAGGGTTAGTAGCGGAGCAATCGCACCATGAGGTAGCGCATAAAAATAAAAGTTGGGCGTCCTGGTAGCCAATGGGCGGGGACGTGGTTCCGTAGCGAGCAGGCGGGCTTTCCTCACTAATTTTTGAGCTGCAATATTAGCTTTCCCTTCATGCCTGCGGGAGGACCACCGTCTTCAAGTAGGCACCTAAACATCAAATGAACACGAAGCGTGGCTTTGAACTGCCATGGAGTATATCCCAGCCATTGATTGAGTGGAATCAGCAGCGGGACACCGTATCACAGATGGACGACTGGGAAGTCGCACTCCATAAGAATCGACCATGCTTTTCCCCTTTAAAGTCTCCGGTTTCATAATGGGAACTGTTGCCAGCCTCCAGTTACCAGAAAGTGTTCTGCGGCCCAATCTCGCACTCATACGCTACTCGGATGCATAGTGGAAGCTAGATGCAAGATGCGTTCCAAGATTACTAGTAAGCGCCGAACATCAAGCGTTTATTGCCGTATTCTACCACTCCGTGCTCACTCATGATGAAATTGATATTATCGCTCTGTGTAGCCAGCCCTACAGTGACAGGAATTTCCAGTAAAGCGGTCACCTGTCGCCGGATAGAAGTAGCAGTGACTTATTGACTTGTTCGTTTTTTTCAAGTATTGGGTTACTCCTATTGGATTTTGTGTTCTTAATGTGTTATTAATGGCACTACTCTTGTTCATTTGTCGTTCTGCTTCGTTTTAGCATAGACTGTGCGCTAGCAAAAGGATGGCTGTTACGCGGAGCGGCTGAAGGCCTCACACTCTTTGAAGAGGTGAAGCGATGTAATTACTTAGGATAGTATTCTTTAATTGAGAAGATTCAAATCAAAAATTTAGCTGCTCGCTCGTCTGTGTAGGGAAGACGCAGCTAGTGCCGACACCCTTTACGCTCATCTCAACGATCTACTCGACTTTGACAGTGCAGCCAACAATCCCGAACGTTGTCTTTTCCAGACTACATTCTTGTGGAGGCAGAGG